GAAGAAGAGGAGGAAGAGGAAGAAGAGGAGGAGGAGGGTGACGCCGAGAGGCGCTGCAAAGCGAGCAAACTGGAGCTGGACGAGCGAATGGAGTCGCTCGCCGAGCGTCGAATAATCTTCACCGGGCAGATGCGCTTCCCGGAACTTGGGCTTCACGGCGTGGACAGCCAGACGGACGGTTTCCAGGACGTCGGCTTCTTGAGCGGTCTGACCAAATGGTCGCCCCCCTGCGGACAGACGCCCGATCTGCGGCTGGCCGCCGACAAGTTCCTTCCCGGCCTGCAGCAGTCAAGTCTCCTTTCAGCCGCCGTGGCTGCCGCCGTTGCTATGCCGGGCAAATCGATGGGCGGTCTCGTCTACTCCATGTCCGCGTCGGCGTCGCCGTCGTCGTCGTCACCACCGCCTCCGCCAACCTCGCTGCCAGCGCCGCCTTCTACGCCTCCGCTCAGCTCAAGTCCGTCGTTGTCGGCCGGCGGGGGCGTCCTGTCGCCGTTGCATCTCACCCCCCTCGGGCCAGCCTCGTGCGGGCCGCATTCGCGAGGCCTTCGGCTGCCGGACGAGACCGGACCCTTCGACTTGGAGCAGCGCAGCAGCGGCGTCGTCCACCATAAGCCCATCTCCACCCCCTCCACCATCTCCACCACCTCCACTGCGTCCGCCACCTGCACCACTTCTGCCGCCCCCTCCATGCCCCCGAAGCCGGCCTCGACCGGCAGCCCGGCCGGCCTGTACGCGTCCGGCGCCTACTCCGCCGCACAGACAAGCCCTCCGCTGCCTAACGACGCGAGAACCTCGCCCAGACCGACCAACGGCCTCAGCCTCTCCTCGATGGCGCCCCACCTCTCGGCCCATTTGGCCGGTCTGCAAGACTTTGTCAGTCCTGCCGGAGGTAGCACCGCCCCCACCACCACCACGACCACCACCACGACCACCATTACCAATAATAATAATCATCATAATCATAATAATAATAATAATAATCAGAACAACAACAAAAATGAAGACACCGGCAGCCACAACAAAGACAGCAGCCCTTTCCCGCGATTTGCAAAGCATTCGGCAGATGCGTCTGCGCTATCCGGTCGACAGGCGGGCGAGGCCGCGGAGATTGAGTTGAAGGCGTGTCCGGCGTCCGGAATGGGCGGACGAGAGGACGAACTGGTGCTGTCCATCGGCGAGGCCGGCTCTCCGCAACTGCACACCTTCCCCTTCCTCCCGGCGCCAGGCCTGCTGATGCCGGCCGAGGCTGCCGGCATGTCGGAGCACCAGTTCCAGACTCATCTGCACCAGCATCAACAACACCAACATCACCTCCACCACCACCACCA